TAACAAACATGAGTATGTTAATTAGCCACATTTGCGTATTAATTTTTTTTTTTACCATAATCTCTCACTTGTATTGTTATGAAACAAATGAAGCACTGAAGTATAAGATCCTATAAAAAGGAGGAGTGAGCTACAAGTGTGGCAGTTGCCTTGCAATGTGATGCCTCATTTTCATTCACATTAAAGTGTGTTTTAATAATCTGACTTCCAATAATAATGAGGCGGAATATACATTCTGTCATTGTTATGTCTGAAAAATGCTATTCCCATTTATAGTCTTACAGGGATCTCACTTTTGTATCATGTATAATACATGGACTTTAATACTAGTAGATAAGTGTATTGAACCACCTGGATATTAGACAACCATGATGAAGTTGAGGTTAAAGTCACCAACTGCCCCACCCATCTTCAGGGTTGGGTCAAAGGTCCTTACAAGTTCACATGTGTGTATAGAGAGGCTGTGTAATATTGCACGTCAGACTCCCCCCCACCCACACCCCACACCCCCAAATCATTAATGTCATGCCAAGGGTATTTCAAGGTTGCGACCGAAAGAGCTCCACTGTAATTGTTAACTGTGCGTAACAGCGGAGCTCTTTCGTCCGCGAGGTCTTTTGTTGAGTTCATCCATTGCAATAAATAGTCATTCGTAATCAGGTGTATTTTATCTTGTTTACATTTATGATAAATACTATATAGAACTGGTTTGTTTTAAGAAAATACATTCCAGTAAATTCAATTTCCAGATAAATTTGACACTTTTTCAAATTTCATTGGGTTAACAAATAAAGAAAGTGAATGTTCGTTCGGGGAACGTATATGTTACCATCAACTTTACAAAACAAATGAATGATTGTGAACACTGACCTACATTTTGCAACAAAAGTTGAGATGTCCTATTTCAAATAATAATTACAACTGGGTATCAGCCTGTGCTTTGTGGAGTTAGTGCAGTTACCTTGTATGTTTGTGTTTGTGTGTGTATGTGTCTGTTCCACTGATAACTCCAGAACCATTTCACAGAAACTTGGTATACAAGTTTGTAAGCCACTCATGTGATTAGTTTTAGAGTTGAAATTCATGAATGAATGTTCTTCAGGGGAATGTACATGTTCCCATCGATCCTACAAAACAAAATAATGATTGTGAATACTGACCTACATTTTGCAACTAAAGTTGAGATGTCCTATTTCAAATAATAATGACGGTACAACTGGGTATCAGCCTGTGCCTTTTGGAGTCAGTGCAGTTACCTTGTATGTTTGTGTGTGTATGTGTCTGTTCCACTGATAACTCCAGAACCACTTCACAGAAACTTGGTATACAAGTTTGTAAGCCACTCATGTGATTAGTTTTAGAGTTGAAATTCATGAATGAATGTTCTTTAGGGGAATGTACATGTTCCCATCGATCCTACAAAACAAATTAATGATTGTGAATACTGACCTACATTTTGCAACTAAAGTTGAGATGTCCTATTTCAAATAATAATTACAACTGGGTATCAGCCTGTGCTTTTTGGAGTCAGTGCAGTTACCTTGTATGTTTGTGTGTGTATGTGTCTGTTCCACTGATAACTCCAGAATCATTTCACAGATTTAAATTAAATGAAATTTGGTATACAAGTTTGTAAGCCAATCATGCGATTAGTTTTAGAGTTGAAATTCATGCATGTTAATTAGTACCTGGTGTACAACATATTTTGTCATAACAGTTATAGCGGGTATTATCAACTTTAATTTTGTTGTTTTTTTATGGCAGGAAACTATTATATTTGTAGAAACCTT